TAAAAATGAAAAAAAAAAAAAAAAAAAAAAAAAAAATTAATAATAAAATGAAATAAAGAATGTGTAATAGAAATATTACAAAATGTTTCACAATTAAATAAATATGAGAATAAAAAAAAAAAAAAATAAGGCATCTATAATATTTATTGCAAAAAAATGAATTAGAAAAATATAATGTTTTATGTCAAAAAAAAGAAATACATTAGAAAATTATAGTATTTCGTTAGAGAAAAAATAAATAAAAAAAAAAAATTAAAACTAGTAAACTTTAAAAAATTAAATGATATATTTACCAAATGGTAAAAGATCAATTTTTTTTCATTTATATCCTTATAAAAAAATGAATGATAATTAATAAATTTCAATTTATTTTAAATGATTTCATTAATATATCAAATATGAATACGATACATATATTCATTCACTATTATTTAACTTTTATATTTCATTTTTAAATTTAATTTTGAATTTATCATTTCGTTTTTTTTTTTTTTTTACTTTATGCTATAAAGATACGAAAAAAAAATATTGGAATATTTTATTTATTACTTACTAAAAATACTATAAACTTATATAAATATCATTAAAAAATTATAATTAAATAATTTTGCATATAATATAAAAAAAAAAAAAAAAAAAAACTCTTCTATTCTATAATAAAAAGATATATAGTTCAAACTACAAATAATTATTTTTTATTATTTATTTTCCTATTTATTTATATAAATATAACTTTTTTAATAGATTTTTTTTTTTTTTAAATATCATACATAATTTATGTATAATTTAATTTATATATCATTTAATTTGTATATTATTTAATTTATACATTTTCCAATGTATATATTATTAATATAATTCATTTTTAACTTTTTTTCTTGAATACATCTTTTTATTAATATATTATTATTTTTACTCCACACTATATATATATATATATATTTATCCTTCTTAAATATAAATTACATGATAAATTTATATTCTTAAAATTTAATAAAATTTTTTTATTATATCATCTTATTTTTATTAATTTATATATATATATATATGTATATGTTTCTTTTTATATTATTTAATAGACGTAAATTTTAAATCTTAATTTTATATATTAAAATCAATAATTAATAATTTTTTTATAATTTATTAATTGATCATATTATTTCCTTATAATTTTTTTTTTTTTTTTTTTTTTTTTTTTTGGCTATTAATGATGAAAGATAATGAAAAGAATGAGTATGGAACCTTTCCAATAACAATAAATGATGCATATTCTGATAAATTAAAAGATAAGAAATATAAAGGTAAAGATATATATTCTACCTTTTATGATAAAGTTAAATTAATATTTTTATTAATAACATGGTATGCATTAAATGTACTATATAATGTTGATAACAAAAGGGCGTTAAATATGATAAAGTTACCTTGGTTAATTAGTTGTATACAATTATTTGTCGGATGGATATTTATATTTATTTATTGGATAAGTGGATATAAAAAAGTACCAAAAATATATTCATATGATTTATTTTTAAAAAATATTTTAATTCAAAGTGTGTGTCACATATTAGTTCATTTTGGAGCAGTTATGTCAATGTCTCAAACAAGTGTTTCCTTTACTCATGTTGTTAAGGCGTGCGAGCCAGTATTTACAGCTATTTTATCAATTTTACTTTTAAAACAATACATGAAACTTAATAAATATATATCATTATTAGTTATTGTTAGTGGGGTTGTGTGTGCTTCTGTTAAGGAATTACATTTTACTTGGATATCTTTTTGGTGTGCAACTATCTCAAATTTTGGTTCTTCTATGAGATCTATTTATGCTAAGAAAATGATGACTCAGAAATCATCAATAGGGGAAAATTTGAATGCTTCAAATATATACTCTTTAATTACTATTTTTTCTGCCTTAATCTCATTACCATTAGTTTTAATATTTGAAGGAAGATCTGCCTATAGTTTTTTAACAAATTACCAAAGTACTCAATCTATTCATTCATTTCGTGATATTGTTGTAAAGATATTTTTAAGTGGAATGTGGTATTACTTAAATAATGAAGTTGCGTTTATGTGTTTAGAAAAAATTAACCAAATTACTCATGCTGTTGCAAACTCAGTTAAAAGAGTTGTTATAATTGTATCTTCAATCATTATTTTTAAAACACAAATAACCTTATTAGGTGCTGTTGGATCAGCTGTTGCCATATTTGGCACATTTTTATATTCTATTTTTTAAAAAAAAAAAAAAGGAAATAAATTTCTTTTAGAATACTTATATATAAAAAAAAAAAAAAATAACAAAATTAAAAATTAATTTTTAAAATATAAAAAAGATAAAATTTAATTAAACATTATAAAATATACAGTTCAAATATACAAAAGAATTGTGAAATTATATATTTTTAATTTGAATTAAATATATATTTTTCTTTTAATATGGATTAATAGAATTTTATTTTTATCACCACAAATGAGTATATTATGTTTTTTAACAAATTTATTTATATATAATTTTTAAATATTTACTATTAAAATTTGATATTTTACTTTTTTTTATTTTTTCACAATAATAAATATTATACAAATGGAAAAAAAGATATTTTTTATAAAATTTTTATATAATAGTATATTAGGATACTTATGCAAGTAACCAATATTTTTGAAAAATTATTTTTTATATATATAAGTCATTATAAAATTAAAAGTTATTATATAAATATACATATATATATATATGTATATATATATATGTATTTAATTTTTATGAAATGTTTTTTATACTATTTTCATAATATATTTAATTAAAAAACATTCATAATAACCAAAAAAATATTTATTCTTTTTATTTTTTAAAATGTCTTTTATGTAAAAAAAAGAAAATTTTTTTAAAACAAAACTATTAATATTAATAACATAATAATTGTTTTATGTTTTAATATAAAAATGATATAAATATGGATATTAAAACATTTTTCAAATTTCTCATGTAAAAAAAATAAAATACAGATAAAAGATATATCTTGTGTGTAAAAATATTTAAGTGCAAAATTTAAAGAAGAAAAAAAAAAAAAAAAAAAAAAAAAACCAATTTTAATATTTTTATTTCTATTTTATCGCGTATGTAAATAAAAAAAATGGGCAAAAAGAAATTTTTAGTTATCTCTTTTTTATTAGACAATCTTTATAATTAGACATTTATATTTTCTATCCAATGATATTTGAATTTTTTTTTTTTTTTTATTAGACATTATTTTTTAATTCTTTTTTTTTTAATGAGAATGATATATAAAGAATACATATCACAAAATTTGTTATAAATTTAAAAAAAAAAAAAAAAATTAGAGATGTAATAATGAGAAACACATATAAAAATATAAAATTATATGAAGCACTAATAAATATATAGATACATAAAATCATTTTCATAATGTATAGAAATAAATATCAGCCAAAAATATTATCCCTTTTGCTAAGCGCAGGGTAAAAAAGAAAAAACTAAAATAAAAATAAAATAAATCATAATAATAACAAATAATAAAAAAAAAAAAAAAAAAGTTAGTATACATTGTATAAATATGAACACTTCGTAATAACAAAAACAGTTATAACAAGATAATAGAATTATCATAATTATAGTTTAGTAGAAGTATAAATATATAACATTCTGGTTACAAAAAAAAAAAAAAAATTATTATCATTTAAATATTTTTCTTTTTACAATAAATGGTTTATTCTTACAAATAGTTCTAAGCCATTAGAGATATGGAAAACAAAAACAAAAAAGGGTTGCGTTAGAAAAGTATTAGATGAAGCAATCAAATTAAGTGCAATTGAAATTTTATCAGAAAATACTTCTGATTCATATATTTATACAGCACCATATAATTTTACCTCATTAGGAATTAGTTTACCTATTATTGTTCTTATTGTTAAAAATGTAACATTTCTTTAGGATATTGTTATATTATTCTAATTTATATAAACATGTATTTTTTTTTTTATAAATTATATAAATTTTTCTTTTTTTCAGATGAATAGATATTTTTCCTTTAGAATAAGTATATTAGATGATAGAAAATGTAGAAGAACTTTTAGAATTTCTAATTTTCAGGTAAAAAAAATATCAGACATATTATTTAAAAAAAAAATATATATATATTAAATAAACTATGTATTTCTTAAATTAGACTGTTACAAGATTATCAAATAAATGGTGTACTATGCCAATGGTTTTAAATGATGGATGGAATATTATACAAATAAATTTAAAAGATTACACAGAAAAAGCATTTAAAACAAAATATGTTGAAACAATTGACATACAAATAAATGCTAGCATAAGAATTAGATGCATATACTTTTGTGATAGAATTTATAAAAATGAAGAACTGAAAGATGAATTTAAAATATGCTCAAAAAAAAAAGAAAAAATAAAATATACTATTCCACAAAATTTAAAGAAACTAGAAAAGAAAACTACTATTAAAAATATTAAAAAAGAAAAAAATATAAAAAAGGAAGATAATGCAACAAATAATGAATTAGCAAATAATGAAGAAAAAGAAAATACTGAAGACAATGACAATCTAAATATAAAAGGAAATGAAGAGAAGAATGAAAAAATAGAAGATAATGAAGAAAAAATAGAATGTGAAGAAAAAATAGATAATGAAGAAAAAATAGATAATGAAGAAAAAATAGAAAGTGAAGAAAAAATAGAAGGTGAAGAAAAAATAGATAATAATGAAAAAATAGAAAATGAAGAAAAAATAGAAAGTGAAGAAAAAATAGAAAGTGAAGAAAAAATAGATAATGAAGAAAAAATAGATAATGAAGAAAAAATAGAAAGTGAAGAAATAATAGAAATTAATGAAAAAAATGATATAGACAATTATGATGATAAGAATGATGTAGAAGAAAATTATTTAGCTGATATCATCAATGATATAGATGGTGAAGATAAAGAAGATGATAATGAAAATAGAAAATTATTAATTGAAAATGCATATAATGAAGAAGAAAATGAAGCTGTTGTTAGTAATTTAAGTGAGGTAAAAAACATAGAAATAGATATGAACAATGTACTTTATGATGATATAAATTATGAAAATTATAATAATGATGATAATTAGATATTAGTTTTTAAATTCTTAAAAGTCATATCTTTAAAAAATTAAAATAATAAATAATAAAATAAAGATATGACATTTTATAATAAAAATATCAAAGAAAATAACAAAAAAAAAAAAAAAATAAAATAAGATTAAGAAATGAAACTTTAAAAAGATAAATTTATAGTATATAAATTAAAGATTGGTTTAAAAAATTATGAAAAAATATCAAAAAAAAAAAAAATAAAATAAAATAAAATAATTAAAATAAAATAAAGAATATAAACTCACAATTTTTAGAAATACAAAATAATTAAGAAAATAAATAAAGATGTAATTTAAAAATACAAAAAAAGTTAAAATACGAAAAAAAAAAAAAAAAAATTCTTTAAATATTAATTAAAAATTTAATTGAAATTATTAAAATAAAAGACATAATACGAAAAAAATAAATGAGAATAAATATACATTAAATATGTTAACATATCCATTTGGAAGTAAAAATATATTTAAAATTAATAAATTAATGTATATATATATATATTTTTATTATTAAGTGAATTTTTTGATTAGTTAATAAATATCAATAACTAAATTATGTAATAAATGCATAAAATTAAATCCACTGATAGAACACAAATAAGTTTTATTATATTTAAAAAAAAAATATAAAATGAATGGAGAAGAATTATAAATATTATAAATATCTTGACTTGTAAATGTGTGTTCATTAATTACATTTCTACTTTTATTTTTAGTTACAACTAGACTTAATTTAATAATATTATTTAAGTCAAAGAAAATTTCTACTGTCAAATAGTCAATTACGGGATTTAACAATTCATTTACATAGTTGAAAACAGATGTTTTAATTAGTTTTTTTATCTCGTATATATGAACTGTTGACGATTCATAAGGAATTTTATGTTCTTTTTTTAAATCCTTCTTGTTTTTTAATATATTAAAAAATAAATCTTTTTCAAAATAGGAACCATGAATTAATATTGGTTTTTCAATTAATAATTTAGAGACAAAAATTATTGCATTCTTTAAAGTTTCAATATCATTTTTCATTTTAAATTGATAATTTAATATTAGATCTTCTATTTTTTCTTGTTCTTCATGCAATTTTTTTAAATAGTTCATATGTTTTTTTTTTTTTAAAATATTTAAAGCTATTTGCATAACTATATTTCTCCATTTCATATGAAAAAATGAACTTCTATCATAATTATTTTGTAAAATATATAAATATGATTGTTCAAACTTAGATTTATGTAATTTTTCATCTTTAAATTTATGTATATATAAATTTGGAGGAAAATTTTCACAAAAATCAACAAATATCATTTCATCCGATAATAAAATATCAATTGTTTTCCTAATTAAGTGAACAAGGTTTATCTCTTTTTGATCCTTTAAAGACAAATAATGAGCATCCAACGATTTTAATTTTAGTATTAAGTTATTGGTATCAATACAATGCTCAAAAAGTGGACAATTTTTTAAACATTCTGAAATAATATATATTTTATCTTTTTCATAATGATATTTGTGAATAACTGAAAATAAGTATTCATTATTTTTTATGTAAGGCCTTTTACGATAACATATATATTGAGGCATTGGAATTCTTGTGAATTCACAAATACTCATATTTTTTTCTTTTAACAAAAATCTTATATCTAACTTTATATTATATATTAATTTACATGTTATGAAAAATTGGATTTCTTCTTCATTAAAAATTAACTTTTTTATATTTTTTTCTTTTCTTTTATTCGAATATGCATATATTGTATTATCTTCTTCCTTTCCAACATCTGATTTTGTTTTAACCTCTTCATTATTTATAGCGTTATCTTTTTTTTCATCCTTACGAATATATTTAGATAAAAAACTTTTTTTTTTTTTATTTTTATTTAAATTATTATCTTTATTTTTTTTTTTTATATCCTCTTTCATATTTGTTACATCTACACGGGTGTCCTTCTTGTTAAATAAGGATTCTGAAACATTTTCCATACATGAGGTGTCTTTATGTTTATATGTGTAAAAAAAATTTATAATTTCTATTATAGGATCGTTAAATGACAATAATAAATAATTTTGATATCGGAAAAATAAATTAAAAATATGACATAACTGAAAAATTCTTAACTGAACATAATATGTGCTATTATTTAAATGATATCGAAATAAGTTTATATAAGTATTTACATATATATCTTCGTCAATATTACATATATTATTTATAATATATATAAAAGAATTAAATGTGTGTTCATAAATATATTTTACAGATATGAAATTTTTCTTTAATTTATAACTATTTAATGATTCATATTTATTTAAATATAAAACCTCTATAAAATCGCAAATTCTATTACAAATACTTATGATATGTGATGGAATAGGTGGGTAAAAAAATTTTTCTCTCATTTTATCTATATTTTTTAATAAAGGATTTAAAATAGCCATAAGTAACAAATTAAAAAAAGGAACATATATAATATCTTCATTATTAAAAAAATATATTTTATTTTGAGTCGAATTTTCTTTACTCATGTTTTTTTCATAAATAACAAAATGTTTAAATAAGTACTTCATTATAATTTTAAACATATCAGGAAACTTTATATTTTTAAAAATTTTGCAGAGTTCCTTAAATACCTTTACAAAATCTAACTCTAAAAATACATCTTTATCACTTGTATTTTTTGTATTTCTTATTTTCATTTCATCTTGTATTTTAGGTGACTCCTTTTGTTGAAATTGTAAATTATTATATGTTTCCACAGGATTCTTATATGGATTAATATGAACAGATATATTTTCTTCCTTTCCTTTTCCTTTAATAAATTGTGTAAATTCTTTATCCTTCTCCTCATTAAAATCATTGAAAAAAAAAGTCTTTTCATTACTTGTAGTTTCATTTAATTCATTCATATTAATTTCAGCATTATTATTTATTAAGTTATTTGTTGAATTATTCATATTATAATTACTATTACTATTAATTATATGGTTCATTGAAATATTTGCATTATTATATGTATTAATTAAATGGTTCTGATTACTCATTTTAATTATATCTTCTTGACAATTTTTAGATGGATAACTAAACATATTAGGATTATTCATACACAATTCCTTCTTAAGTCTTTTTCTTGACATTTCGTTTAATAAAACAACAAATGAATTCGAATTATTTAAATTTGATATACAATGAGAAAAATTAATTAAGAATTCGTTTTTCATGAATAGCATCTTTATTAATAAAAAAAAAATTGATGATTCTACTTTAAATAAAGAATCAACATGTAAACAACTTTTCATTTCTTCTATACCAAGTTTAATTAGAAATATGGTAAAAATATTACGAACTCTTTCATTTTTCAAATCATAGTATAGATCAAAAATAAATGAGCATATAATTAAAGTACTTTTTTTATAAAAAGAATGTTTCTGTTTTACAATATCTAAATTACTATTTTTAAATTCTGTCCTTCTATCATATTCATAAGAATGATTAATTAAGCTTGATTTATTTAATATGTAGTTTGCTTCATTTTCTTTATCTCCAATACATTTAGTAGATGAATTTTCCATTGCATTTTGAACATTTAATTTTCCCATAAATCCTTCATTTTGTCTTACTAATTTTTGTTGATAGGATAATTTTTTAAGATTTTTTATATTTTTATGATTATGAATTAAACACAGAATTATTAGATACATTGGCTGCTGCTGCAAAATATATACTAATTCTTGAAGTTTACTCATATTGGCATCAAAAATGTGAGTTGCTTTTGTATGCATTATAACAGGTAATGGTTCATTCATATTTGAAATATTAGATAAAATAAAATTCTGATAATTTAAATATAAATCATTATATTGCCTTTCATATGAATTTAAATTTAAAATAAATTCAATGTGTTTACTATATAAATCTGTTAAATCATCCTCAAAAGATTTAATATAATCTAAACTATTACTGTATTCTTCTTTTTTCAATAACATTTGGATAAATTCCCAGTTAATAACATTTGGAATAACTTGCATTTCATAAATGAATTTTTCAATCTGTTCTTCATAATAAGGAGTATATATAAATTCGTTTGTGAATTTTTCTTTTTTATTAAATTTTTTTTTTATTAGGTTTATTTCGTTTATATTTTTACAATAATTATTATACATATGTTCATCATTACTTGCATCATTATATTGATCATCTTCTATCTCTTTTTCATCATATGTTAACCAACTTTTTACAATTTTTTGGGGGTACTTTATGTAGGTTAACTGAGTTAACCCTATACCCAAATGACAATTTTGTGAATATCCCCAAGCATATATTTCATTATTTTCTAATTGAACAAACGATGCATTTTTAAAAGAAAAAACCTTATTAATATTGCTCTTCATAAAATAAGGAATTAATTTTGGGAAATCTATATGTTTAATTTTCCTTGAATCATGAACAATTTGAAAATAATAATTATCTCCTAAACCAAATAATTTGTTATCATAAGTAAGAAATAACACATGACGATATTTACCTATAATCTTTTTCACGTTACTAATTTGAGGATATAAAGTTGGTTTATCATAGGATATTGTATTTTTTATAAATTCTCCCCATATATATATAAAACCATCAATAGATAAAATCATGCTAAATGTACTACCAGCTAATATGTCTTTAATAAATATATTTTCATCTAATGATATTTTTTTAGGATAACTAACAATAGAATTGAAGTTATTTTTTAATCCTAATCTTCCATTATTTGCGCTCCCACATGCATATAAATCATTATTATCAGTTAGAAATAAACTATGATTTGTTCCTAAAGAACATTTATAAACTTGACTTAGTAAATTAACTTTTCGTGGTAATAAAATAGAACCTTGAGTATAGTCTAAACCTAAACCAACTTTCCCACTTTCAGCATTCCCCCACACATATAATTCTCCGTGTTCTAATTCCATTTCTTGATTTTGGGAAAAATTATTATTAACAATACAAGAACTGTGATCATATCCTGCATATATATTAATAACATTACTTAAAGATTTTATATGAATTGGCTCATAACAATCTTTTATTACTCCTATACCTAGTTGACTCTTATCATTTTTTCCCCATCCATACACATTTCCTACTTCACTCAAAGCTAACACATAGTTATTTCCACATGCTATCTTAGTAATCTTATTAATTGATATATCTATAAATATAGGTATTGAAAATTTTTTATTTAAATTAAATTCTCCATTCCCTAATTCTCCCCCTTTATTATACCCTGACACATATATTTTCCCACTTTCTAATAAAAACACACTAAAATAATCACTTCCATCAATATATTTTACTCTTGAATTTATTACAAGATCATTTTTTTCAAATATTAATTTGCTATTCATTATCATGTAATCACAATTGGGAAAGATGTTTCCATTCTTCGTTTTATTTATATAATAAGATAACTTATCTAACTTATAAAAATCATTTAAAAAATCGTTTATGAAAACTTTTCCTCTTAATTCCTTAATATATTTAATGGGAAAATTTTCTTTTTTTGAATTTATATTATACGATTTTTCATCGTTATTATTCTTATTTTCTGTGTCTCCTATTAAGTAATCCATCAAATTTACATCTGAATCTGAATCCAATTTTTTTTCTTGTATATAAGTATTATTGTGATCATAATAATTCCCAAATGTAATTAAGTCTCCCACTATTGTTACACCAAAAGCTACGTATGTAGAAGCGTGAACAGAAATACATTTAAAATTCGTATTTATTTGTTTTGGTATTTTACAAATATAATAAGAATAATCTTTTGATATATTAAAAGTGCCACACATAAAAACATCCCCTTTTATACTTAAAGCTAAAGAATTAAAGCATCCAAAACTTAACATAAATATTTTCTTATTGTGATTAAAAAATTCCACTTTTCTCGGATTTAATATATCATTATCATCTCCATGTCCCAATTTATAAAATTTTCCATTTCCCCATGTATACACATTATGATCAATGTCTATACATCCTGAATGAGAGTTCCCTGAACATACATAAATAATTGTTTTATTTTTTAATTTAGTAATTAATTGAGGCTTGTTGTAACTTTTAATATTCCCTAATCCTAACCTTCCATTTCCCCCATATCCCCAACTGTAAATTTCTCCATTCAGATTACAAGCCAAACTATGCTTACTCCCAGCAGAGCAATGAATAACAAAATTTTTTTTGTTTTTTTCTTTTGTTTCATTTACATTGAACTTATATTTATTAAAATTTTCATAATGATCCATATTATTTTTATATTTTAATTCGTCTACTAGATATATGGGTGTAGGCTCATAAACATTCATATTATTTCCATTACCTACACAACCATAATTATTAAAACCCCATCCATATAAAATACCATCTGTTGAAATAGATAAAGTATGCATATCTCCACATGAAATAAATTTTATTTTTGTATATTCAGGAAATTTAATTTTAATGGGAAAAGGAGTAAACCAATCCTCTTTTTCTTCATATTCAGTATACAAATGTTTACTTTCATCTTTATCTTCTTTATTCATTATACTAAAATCTTCATCTACAGCATTCACTTCTAAATCTCCGTTATTCATATGTTGTTTCAATATATTTTCATTGTTATTTGGTATGTCATTATTCAAGTTGTTTTCATTGTGTTTAAAATGTTCATTTTTTATTTTATTAATTTCTTCGATGTTATCTTTATTATTTCTTTCATTTGTATTGATTTCGTTATTGGTTTTGTTACTTTTTACACTTGAAATATTATCTATATCAAAATCTATCAAACTGTCAACACTTTTCAACGAAGAAAAGCTTTTATTTATATTGAATGCATTAAGAACTTCTTTATTTATTTTATTATTTATTTTGTCCAGTAGTTTTTCTTTTTCCTTTTCTTTATCGTTTTTCATAAATTTCATATCATTTAAAAGGTTTCTCTTTTTTTTATATCCAAGTAAACCATTATTTCCTTTCCCAAATGAGTATATAGAACAACCGTTATCTGTTATATTTTGTTTTACTAAAACAAATGTAGAGTAGTTTGTACAACATACAGAACAGACTATAAAATTTTCAAAAAATTTAATGACAGAAGGGTTATTAGCATATCTTAAATTTATACCTAAACCTAATTGATTACTAGCATTACTTCCCCAACCATAAACACTAACTTTACCCTTATAATAACCAATACATGCATAATGATCTAATCCTGAACTAATTTTAGGGTAAAAATTAAAAATATATTTATGCATTTCATTGTAATCTACATTTTCTTCTTTCATACTTATCAATAATATTATATAAATTATATTAATATAAAGTGATGTATTTATTTTTATTCTTAATTTTATATTGAAATAAAAACAAAATTATGTTCAATACTTGAACAGCTATTTTACAATGAACAAAAATAAATTTAAATATGAACGAACAACCTTAATACATAGAAGTGCTAAAAAAAAAAAAAAAACATTTGCAAAACATCTAACTAGAATTACAACAGAATATATATAAAAAAATAATATATAAATAAAAACAATATATCATGAAAAGATAGATATGAAAAACAAAAACTAAAAAATAGATAAATTTACCTAGAAAATTTATTAAAGTGCAAAAAACAAAATAAAGCAAAAAAAACAAAAAATATTAACTAAAACAAAAAATTTTAAACTACAAAGCAAAAAAGTAAAAAATTACCACCAAAAAACAAAAAAAAAAAAAAGAAACCAAAAAAACAATTATAGAATAAATATCGAAGAAAAAAAGAAAAAGGAAAGAAATTTAGATGAAAACAGTAAAGTATTTAATTTCCCTCTATCAATTTATTTTTTTTTTCTCTTATATTAAAATCAAAACATTTGTCTTAATGAAAAACGTATACACTATATATTTGTATGTGAGATTTATAAACATTTTTTCTACTCTCATTAGAATATTCTTTTAAAATAAAATTTTAAAAAAACTATTTAATTTTTTACTTTAATAAACGTGTTGTATTTATAATTTATTCATAAATTATTTCAAGTTTTTTTTATTTAATAAAAATTATATAGATTTTAATTTTAAAATATACATTTTATAAAGACATCTAAAATATTTTCCTTTATGTATGATTAAATTTAAACCTTATTTTTTTTCACAAATAGAGATTCATTTACCTATTAAATATATAAAAAGAATGCCGTTTATCATTTATTTATGCATTCTGTTGCAAATAAAAAATATCAAACTCTGAAATTTTATATATCAAAATGAAATTTTTCAAATTTCAAAAATATATATAAATCATTTTCCTCACATATATTAAAGGAAAAATAAAAAATTATTTAAAAAGTCGAAGCTTTATAAAAAAATTAAATAAAACGTTTTTTATTAAAATAATTTAAAATTGAAATGAATTTTTGTCTTCTAAATTTATAAAAAAAAAAAAAAAATTTATAGAAGTATAATCTTTTAATTTTATCTTTTGTTAATTTTGATTTATTTTAATTTTATTTTTTTTTTTTAAATAATTCCTAGTGATATTTATATGGCTTTTTTTTTTTTTTTTTTTCTCTTTTTTTTTTTTTTTTTTTACATACATATATATTATGTGCATAAAAATATATTTATAATTTTTTTTTTTATATATTATAAAAAAAAAAAATGCCTAGCAAGACAGGTAGAGTTAGAATGCCAGCTGATAATAGGTTACCTGTGTCAGCTTCTTTAAAAACCTCAGAAATTTGGAAAAATTCAGTTGGATATGATCCTTATGCATCTATTGAAGAAATAAATAATAAAAAAAATGCAAAAACTGAAGAAATAAATGAAAAAGCACAAAGCTTATTTAATTTAGCGAGATTAACAGGTAATGTATCTTCAACTATACCAGGAGCTTGCAGCCTCTGTAACCATGTAGGACATTTACCTTATCAATGTAGAAATTTTATAAATCTAGAAAAACAGAACTTTAAGAAAGATATGAAAGAAAACTCTGAAGATGAATTAAAAGAAAGAAAAAATTTAGGACTTATAAGTAGTGAAAGTGAAAATGAATCTGAAAGTGAAAGTGAAAGTGAAAGTGAAAGTGAAAGCAAAAGTGAAAGCGAAAGCGACAGTGAAAGTAACTTTAGTGACGATTCAAGTTATAAAAAAAAAAAGATAAAAAAAATCAAAAAAAAAAATCATAGACATGAAAAATTGAAACATAGTAAAAATAAGCATAAGAAACACAAAAAGAGTGAAAATGAACATGAAAGATATAAATGTAAAAAAAACATACATAAAAAAAGCAAAGATAGGAAGGCTCTTAAAAAAAATAAAAATGGATATAAAGATATTGATAAAAAATATGAACATGATAATCATGATAGTAGTAAAAATTATAAAAAATTGAAAGTTAAAGACAAAAAAATAAAAAAAAAAAAAAAATATAAAAGTAAAAATAAAAATAAAAAGTACAAAGGGAGCTCTTCTACATCGTGATCATATAATGAAACTATATATATATATATGTTTTTTGAGAATGATAATAATTTCTATGAATAATAATAAAAAAAAAAATAAACAGAAAGAATAAAATTAATACAACATATTTGAAAAGTGTAAAATAGAGAAGAAATACAAATTGTGAAAAATGTCTAATTATTTTTTATTTTAAGAAAAAAAAATTATTCATTAAATACAGAATTCAATATAAATTGTGCCCATATGTTAATATTCAATTTTTAATCAAAACTATTTATTTGTTATTAAATTAAAATATCACATACATATATATATGTATATGTATAGTTTATTTATTATATGAAAAAAAAGGTATATTTCATGAGAAATATTTATTAATTAACATTTTAATTTTTTTATTTTTTTTAACTTTAAATTTTAGAAAATACAAATGAAATTCTTTTTTAGTAGATTTCCTTATTTATTATCTTTTTTATCAAACATATTTTAATTATACATTATTTTTTTAATTTTGTCCTTAACGCAATTTTTGATATATTTTGATTTAAAAGAGTTTAACTATTTCACGTTATTTTTTATAACAAAGCATAATATAAAAGTAAAATCATACGTTCATATAAATCTATAAAAGCACAAAATTCCTGTGAAACTTATATCTTTTCTTAATATTAGTTTTAGAATATTAAGTTTTATATTAAATTATGAAAAATAGAAAATAAAAGAAAAAAAGAATAAGTGCTATTTGTAATTCTGGAGATAATAAAAACTAATTATAAAAAAAATTATAAAAACCTTTATTAACTTTATATATATATATTACTGTGTCAACTTTTTTTTTTTTTTCTTTGAACTTAATTCTAGATTAAATTAGTCATATGCATATATATGAAAAAATAATAAATACTTAAAGTTCTGTTTTAAAAAATTTTTAATAATTTTATATAATCTATATGATTTAAAATAAAAGATTATTTAATTTCATTTTTTTTTTTTTTTTTTTTTTGTTTTGTTTTGTTTTGAATATACAAAAACATAATATTAAAAAAAAATAATAAAATCATATGAGTATTTTTAAAATATGTTATAACGTTTTTTTATTATATTTCTCACATTTTTTTTTCTTTTTTTTTTTTTTTGTTAAAGTTTTTCTATTTATTTATTATAATGATTTATGAAAAATTAAAAACATAAAAATAATAAAATGTGTGCGATAAATAATAAAAGAAATTACATCTATTGATCAATTTTTTGATGTTAATTTTTTATGTTTTTGTTTAATATATATGTAATTTTAAAATTTAATATCTTATTTAAAAAAAAAAAAAAAAAAAAAAAAAA